GCACTTGGGAGGCAGAGGCAGGTGGACTGTGTGAGTTCTAGGCCAGCCTGGTCTACAGAGCGAGTATCCAGGACAGCCAGGGCTGTCACACAGAGAAACCATTTCTAAAAAAAAAAAAGCACTTGTCACAGCCTGGCAGTGATGTTGGTGCAATACCTGCAGTCTCAGCACTTGGAAAGAGAGAGGAAGGCACATCTCTGAGTTCAAGGCCAGCCTGGTCCACAGAGCTCCAGGACAGACAAGGCTACACAGGGAAACCCTGTCTTGAACCCCACTCCAAAAAAAAAAAAAAACCACATAAATTTTATAAGAATGTGCTTTCATTTTAATCCCAAGTGTCGGGAGATGGGCTGCCTCAGACTGCAGCAGCTGACCATGATTTATTTGCCTCTTCCTGTAGCAGAAGCATGGTTTTGCTAATTGCAGATAATTTCTGTGATTGTGTGACATTTGGAATTGTGGGAACTTTTCAGAGGGTTCATAAATTTGAGGGCCCCAAGAAGCCAGAGGGGGTTATTGTAGGTCAAAGGAAAGAATTTCCTAATTCCTCTTTCCTCTCTGTTCTTTGTTTTTTTGAGACATGGTTTCTCTGTGTAGCCCTGGCTGTCCTAGAACTCAGAAATCCATCTGCCTCTGCCTTCCACGTGCTAGGATTAAAGGTATGTGCCATCGTAACCCAGATCTCCTGTCTATTCTTGTTTCTCTCCTATCTAGGGTTGGGGGGTGAAGCCAGGAGGGGAGGAAAAAGGGCAAGAAAACAAAGAACCCACAAAGTAGCAAAGGGGATCAGTTTCAGGATCAGATTCCCTAGACTAGTTACAAATAGTTGTGACCAGTCTGGCCTTGAACTTACAGAGATCCACTTGCCCGGCATTGTGTGTGTGTGTGTGTGTTAAAGAAACGAAAATTCCAGAATTCTCACTACAATCCCCTTTTTAAAATTTCCCCTGGAACCAATCACATTTGTAATGTACCTACATACATGCAGGCAGATTATACATACACATAAAAGAAATCTAAAAAAAAAGGGGAATCTCTGACTCCAGTTTGCCTTGGTAACCCAAGCGCTTTACAGTCATTCAGATGCAATCAGAAATAGGTGCTATTTGTTGCAGATTGCATCAAACCTCCACAGACATACTAAAGAATACAGAGACACTGGCTGGAGATGTAGCTCAGAGAGAGCAATGGTTGCCTAATATTTGTGACACATTTGGTTTCATCCCCAATATCCACCCCTAAAAAAGAAGCTGGAGAGATGGCTCAGTGGTTAAGAGTATTTGCTGCTCTTGCACAGGACCTGGCTTCAGTTCCCAGCACCCACAAGGCAGCTATAACTGTCATGCCAGTTGCAGAAGACCTGACATAGTACATACACCTACATGAAGAAAGGAAGGAGTGAAACAAAGGCAATTGTTGCTGCCTAAGCAATTTAGTGAGACTGACATAGTCTAGGGGTCTCAATTGGGTTTGTCTTCTCTGCCAGTTAGAGAATTAAAAGGCTGAAAAAATATTGAGGGCAACAGGTGGCAGCAGGGAAGGAGAAATCACAGACAGCAGCAGACAGAATTAGGTGTTGAAGAAAGGCAGGACACGGTGTGCACGCCTGTAATCCCAGCACTCGGGGAGGCAGAGGCAGGTGGATCTCTGTGAGTTCAAGGCCAGCCTGGTCTACAAAGTGACTCCAGGACAGTCAGGGCTACACAGAGAAACACTGTCTCAAAAACAAACAAACAAGGCATTTAAATGGGCACAGGCAGCAGACAGAGAAAAAGAATCTCTGCAAAGCAGATAACCTAGAAAAGTCTAGTCTCTTCTCAAGGGCTCCAGTTTTTTAAAGTCTTCCTCCCTTAACTTATGGTTGGTCAGTTTGAAGACAGACAGGATGGCAGATTGGCCCATAGCTGTAATATAACAGGCCTTGAACTTGTTAAACCAGTCCATCAACAGGGGGCCTGCTGGTGGGACACAAAAGCTTAAACTGCCAGACTTTTGTCTCAGGTCAAGAAGCTAAGGAAGAAGCCGACCTTCTTGGAAATTTAGCACCACTAGTACCTAAGTATAGCTCCTCTCCCTAACTATCTGTCTACCAAGAAGTCTTGTTTAAGTCCTAATTTTAAGACTCTGATTCAAGCATGCCAGTGGTGGTACACACCTTTAATCCCAGCACTCAGGGGGCAGAGGCTGGCAGATATTTGAGTTCCAGGCCAACCTGGTCTACAGAGTGAGTTCCAGGACAGCCAGGGCTACACACAGAGAAACCATGTCTCAAAAATTAAACATATAAGCAAAAAAACCTCTAATTTAAAAAAATAAATAGAAAGAGGGCTTGATATGCAGAGTGGTGGAGTGCTTGTCTAGCATGCACAGAGTCCTAGATTCAAACCCCAGTACTAAAAGACATAAAAACACTGAGCTGGGCACTTGGGAGGCAGAGGAAGGTGGCTCTCTGACTCAACTCTGATCTACAAATTGAGTTCCAGGACAACCAGGGCTACGTAGAGAAACCCAGTCACCACCTCCCTCTCCACCTAAAAAAGAGACAAAAACAAAAGTGAAAAACAAGAGAAGAAACCTGGAGTCATGCTCTCCTGGAATCCCAGCACTGGAGAGGTAAAGATGAGTTCAGGAGTTCGAGGTCATTTGTAATTCCAGTGTTTGAGAAGTGCACTCAGAATTTCAAGATCGTCCTCCATTACCTAGCAAGTCTGAAGAACAGCCGAGTAGCGTACAGAAGACCCTGCTTAAAAACAAACAAAACAAGCTGGGCATGTGCTTTCAATCCCAGCACTCTAGGAGGCAGAGGCAGGAGGATGTCTGTGAGTTTGAGGCCAGCCAGGCCTACAAAGCCAGTCCAGGCCAGCCAAGGCTACAGAGGGAAATCCTTTCTTGAAAAACAAAACAAAACAAAAATTAACAACAAGAAAACAAAAACAAAAAATAAATAAAACAAAGAGACCGCAAGCTGAGCCTGGTGTTCCAGGCTGTGACCCGTGATCTCAACTACCTGTGAGACCAAGTAAAGCCGATGGCAAGTTCAAGGCCATCAGGGTAACTCAGGGAGGTGAGGTGTGCTGATGAACATTACATTTAAAGTTTAGACTTACAGTGCTTGAGAGACCAAAAGGTAAAAAAAAAAAAAAAAAAAAAAAAAAAAAAAAAAAAAAAAAAAAAAGAAAGGAAAAGGCCTCTAACGAGCAGTTTGTGCTTGGGCAGCTCCACTTCCCTTTTTCCCTAGACTGATGGTGACTGTTCTAGCAAGATAGGAGGTCATAAGATTAACTTCTACTCCTGCTTCTGTAATCAAACTTGCTTACTCTGCTCAGAAGGATGACTAGGGCAACTGTAAGGCATACGTGTTAAAACTACACCCTGCCTACAAAACAGCAAAACGCATGTAATCCTCTGGGGTTTGCCTTTATAAACCGTGGGGTGCTGTGGCTAGGGACATCTGTGGAACACTGTCAGGTGCAGTGTTGGCCCCACACCGGCCACCGCCGCCCCAATAAACCTCTTATTAACATTTATTTATGGTCATGGTGAAGCTCTGAACGACCCCAGACTCACAAAAGAGGTCCTGTGTCAAAATGAAAAGAGGCCTGCCTGAGCGGTTAAAGCAGGTAAAGGCGCTGCCACAGAGCCTGAAGATCTGAGTTTCATCCCTAGGACACATATAGTGGAAGGACAGAACCAGCTCTTGAAAGCTGTTCTTGTCCTATTCCACTTGGGGAGCTGTGCGTACACGGGGCACTAGTCTAAGTGTTCACTCTCTTCCTCTCTCACACTCACACATATACACACACACACACACACTCTAAATAAGTGTAACTTTAAAAAAAGTAAAAACAGCTGGAGGTATATGTTTTAGTTCTGTGATGCATTTGTTGAGCTTGAGTAAAACCCTGGGTTTGATTCCTAGTGCTCGATACACACACACACACACACACACACACACACACACACACACACGTAAAGATAATTATCACAGGAATTCACTCCCACACATTTAAAAGACGGGACTTAGCCAGTTATGTCACAAGATAGAAATACAGCCTCCAAAACATGTTACAGGACAAGTGACACGCTGCTGCCCTCGGAGACTAACGACTGGGAGATCAGAAGGATTTATCACTCGTGGATCAACAGGAGAAAAATCAGCGTGGATCTGAGCAATTGCACATGGTTTCTACAGAATTTATAGTTACAGCATTATTGCTTTATCGTCATTGGCGGCTTCAACTAGGATGCGCCAATGAAGGGTCGATGTACGTTTTTAAAGAGAACTCTCTCTGTGGTCAGTCAAGCACTTTTCAGAATCAGATACTGGAGCGATGATTGGAGCACTCTACTGGCACCTTATTGTCTCCTTTCGAAGGACAATTGTAGGTGGCTGCTTTGACCAGATAAACAAGTTAGCATTTCTCAGGAGAGTTTTTACAGTGACATCTACCCCTTTTTTCCTATTCTTGTGTTAGCTTTCTCTTCAAAACATCATACTCCAATAGAAATAATATCCAAGATACCCAGTTACAACATATTCTAGATTATTCGACACAAACAGCCAGCAAGAAGAACCACGCATGTACACAGGCACACAGTTACAGAAACGCAGTTACTCCGGCAGGCAAGACCACATCGCACCCAGAGAATACACACAAAGTGACAAGTTGAGGTTGACTGGCAGGCAGGGCTGGCTGGGCTCACCCGGGCTCACCGCTAGCGGCACCGCCTTTCTCTCCATCCGCGCCCCTTTAGAGGATTTCTCAAGACCTGGCCTCCAGATTGAAATTGGGATCCCGCCCCCTCAGGCCCGTGGCAACCCTCTAACCAGCAGTGGGAGGAGCAGGAATACAGTTGGCCAATTGGGTTTGCACATTCGTTTTCCGCCCCCTTCCTGGTTCTGCTGTTTAAAGGCGACGACCCGCCCGGGCGGGAAAGACCGCGTTACAGAGCCTCGCTGCGGCCGTGGCCGGGTTAAAAGGCGGAGCCACGGAGGAGGGGTGTTCTGGGAGGAACCAATGAGCGAGTCCCGTTAGGCCGAGGTCACGTGTGCTGGTCCCAAGCGCAGTCTGCTTGCACCAGGTAAGAAAGGTGCGGGGCGGGCGGAGGCTGGGCCCCCCTGACGCCCGGCTCGCGCAGGTTGTAGGCGCTGCGACGCTCGCCGGCTACATGTCCCTGAGAGGAGTCTCCGCGCGGCTGCTGAGCCGCAGGCCCGGCCTGCGCTTCCCGTGGGTCCCGCGTACGTGGAGCTCGGCGGCGCACACCGGTCAGTGCGGGGGGTGGGGCGCGGGGGCCAGCGAGACACGAGGCCCCTCTCTCAGTGTGACTTTCTCGTCCTGTGTTTGCAGAGAAGAGCCGACCGGTCAAATGTAAGAACTATCTGCCCGTCCACTCCCGCCGCAGCTGTTTCCCCGATGGGTGGTGGTCCGTGAATGCAAGGGCTGCCGGGAAGGGAGGCTGGGCTGTGCCCAGGGTCTGAAGGGCTAAGGTAATGAATGGGTATGTTTCCGCTGGACTGGAGAAGGGTTTCCTTTGCCAGGCTGATTTGAAGGCAGAATCCTGGCGCGAGGTAGGGAGAATGGGTGCAGCTTAGAGGTCTGGAAGAGGAGGCGGGGTCTGGCTGAGACCCCCATTCTCTACCTAGCCTCTCGCCCTGGGTTTGACTGGAAGGACCCGCTGGTACTGGAGGAGCAGCTGACTGCCGATGAGAAACTCATCAGGGACACTTTCCGCAACTACTGCCAGGAGCGGCTTATGCCTCGAATTTTGCTGGCCAATCGAAACGAAGGTGTCTTGGTGGTAGGGTGGCGGGGTATGCCTGGGCTCCTCAGCCACACGTGATGTGCGATGTGCGCTGCTGCCGTGCGCACACTAGCTCCGTCCCTGGGGTCGGGGACTCCATCCAGCCGAGACCGGGGCTGACTCTGACACCCATCTCTGCAGTTTTTCACCGGGATATCGTGTATGAAATGGGGGAGCTAGGCGTGTTGGGACCCACCATCAAAGGTAAGGACGTTTCGGTGTATACTTTGCAGCCCTTACCCCCTGGAAGCAGCTGTGTGTATGAGATGAACAAAGTCCTTGCCTATTTCCAGATAGGACCTGTTACAGCCCCTATTCAGTCCCAGGTCCCGGCGGGCCTGAACTTTGGTCTTTGGTCTACCTTCTCTTATACACCAGGGTATGGCTGTGCTGGAGTGTCATCCGTGGCCTATGGGCTCCTGACCCGAGAGCTGGAGAGGGTGGACAGTGGCTACAGGTCAATGATGAGTGTTCAGTCCTCCCTTGTCATGCACCCCATTTATACCTATGGGAGCGAGGAGCAGCGACAAAAGTATCTGCCCCGCCTGGGTAAGTAGCTGCTGTGGGGGGAGGGGGGTCAGACTATGGTCTAGACTGTAGATCCCAGTGTCCCCACAGCCTGCTTGCTTTTCTTCGGACCACCCGTGCCCATGCCAGGCCCTAGGGCCCAGTTGCCAGTCTTGATCCTATGCCAGTTCTGTTAGTCATCTCCTCCTCCCCTCCCCTTTGACTTTACCTCTGGCCACCATCATCTCCCCTTGGATTTTGTTTCCTGAGCCTCTCATCCCAGTCCAAAGTTTAAAGTCTTAACTGTCAACCAGGTCCGTGAGGTCCGTAAGCAGGCCCCTATGTTGTCCAGATGGCCTGGAGCTTTGTAGATCCGTGGCCTCAAACTCAGAGGCTACTGCGTTGCCTTGGCCTCATGAGAGCTAGAAGCTAAGATCAAAGGCATGCACTGCCATGCTTGTCCCTCTGGCCACTATTTTAATTTCCTTTTGATTGCTCAGCTATTTGGGATTCTCCAAACAATGAGCTTGGTGGCTATTCTTCCTCATACCCCCCTTCAAACTGGGTGTGGTGGAACATGCCTCTAATCACAGCACTCCAGAGGCCAGTTTGGTCTCCATATTGAGTTCCAGGACAGCCAGGGCTAAGGGCTACATAGTGAGACCATCTCAAAACAAAACAAAGTGTGCTGGGTTACTCCTTTAATCCCAGCACTTTCGAGGCAGAGGCAGAGGCAGGTGAATCCCTGATCTACAGATTGAGTTCCAGAACAGCCAGGGCTACACAGAAACCCTGTCTTAAAAAACAGACCAAAAACAAAAACCCCTCAAAACCCCCCAAAACAATTAAGAAACAAGAAAAACTCCCAAACTTCATACCCTACTCCATCTTGTTTTGTTTTTGTTTTTTGAGACAGGGTTTCTCTGTGTAACTGCCCAGGCTGTCCTGAACTCACTGTGTAGACCAGGCTGGCCTTGAACTCAGAGCTCCACCCGCCTCTGCTGGGGTGAGTTATGTGCCACCACAGCCGGCCTCACCTAAACCTCTTAGTGCCCTTCAAGACACTCTTGCCAACCCCTTCCTTACTTTCTGGCCTCCTTCACATTATGACATTGTGGTTATGGCCTGGACATTCCTTAGCTCACAGAGTGCCATGATGGCCTCTGTTACAGGCTCAGTGGAGAAGAAAATTTATCAGATGAGTGAGGCCTGATAGCCTGATGGCCCTCTCTTGTGCTTACAGCCAAGGGTGAGCTTCTTGGCTGTTTCGGGCTTACAGAGCCTAACCATGGGAGTGACCCAGGCAGCATGGAGACCAGAGCTCAGCACAATCCCTCAAAGAAGAGCTACACTCTCAGTGGGACCAAGACCTGGTGAGGGGCCCAGGTGGTGGTAGGCGATATGGTGTGTATGAAGGAGCAGCAGCCAGATCCCACCATAACTTTCTGGCCCCCAGGATCACCAACTCTCCTGTGGCTGACCTGTTCATAGTGTGGGCTCGATGTGAGGATAACTGTATTCGGGGCTTCCTGCTGGAGAAGGGGATGCGGGGCCTCTCAGCCCCTAGGATTGAGGGAAAGTTCTCCTTGCGAGCCTCAGCTACTGGTATGATCATCATGGACAGCGTGGAGGTGCCTGAGGAAAATGTGCTGCCTAGTGTGTCCAGCCTGGCGGTATGTGGTAGCCACCTTGGGAACTGGTGATGATGGGTCAGCTGCTCGCTCATCTTTCTCACCTTTTCAAGTGGAGAGCAAACATGCCTGGTCTTTGTGCTTGTGGAGCATTGTGATGCTCCCTGTTCTTCGGTGTGCTAATTGCACCTTTTGGGTTACCACTTTGCTCATTAGCTCTGCCCAAGAATGCATAGCTCTGGACCACTTTCTACTCTGCATGTAGCGCAGCTTCCTCTCCTGCCAGGCTCTTGGCTGTATGCACTGAGGTCAGGCCCCGTGCTGTATAGGACTGCTTGCACATACAGAGTAGAAAGGCATTTAATAAGGCTTGCTGCACCCAAGTTTTGGTGCCCACACCTTGTGGCTGCCGACCCTTGTCTGGGACATTTAGGAGTTGAATTTTCACAGGCCTTCAGCTGAGACCTCTTGTCAATCTTATAGGGTCCCTTTGGCTGCCTCAACACTGCCAGATATGGTATCACGTGGGGTGTGTTGGGAGCTGCTGAGTTCTGTTTTCACACAGCCCGGCAGTATGCCCTGGACAGGTATGTAGTGGTGGTGTATCACCTGGGTGGTGTAGAGGGTCTTGGGGTTTACCTTGTACCCCAACAGTGACTTCTCCAGCACTCACCAAGTTTAAGTTCTCTCCTCTGTCAGATGGCTCGGGACATCTTGAACAGTTTAAATGTTGAGCTTATAACAGGGTCGGAATGAACTGGGAAGCCTCTTGAACTACCGGGCCTCACTTGACCTTGCCTATTCTAGGATCCAGTTTGGTGTCCCCTTGGCCAGGAATCAGCTGGTTCAGAAGAAGCTGGCAGACATGCTCACCGAGATCACACTGGGCCTCCATGCTTGTTTGCAACTTGGCCGTTTAAAGGATCAGGACAAGTGAGGATTATACATTATGGTTGAATCCTACGCCCTTTTCGAGGTCTTTCCCAGCTGGTGGTCTTTCCTCGTTTTTTTTTTTTTTTTTTTTTTTTTTGAGAAAGGGTTTCTCTGTGAGCGTTGGTATCCTGGAGCTTGATCTGTAGCCCAGGGTGGCCAATAATCACAGAGATCCACCTACCTCTGCCTCCCAAGTGCTGGGATTAAAGGTGTGCACCACCACTGCTTGGTGGTCCCCTTGGTTTTGATGGGCTGGATCAAGGATAAGTCATGTCAGCTAGACATGTGCTCTATCTGCTGGGTGTGGTCAGTGCATGCGACCCAGTGTTTGTAACATGTGCCACTCACTCCCAGGGCTACCCCAGAAATGGTCTCCCTGCTGAAGAGAAATAACTGTGGGAAAGCCCTGGACATTGCCCGCCAGGCACGAGACATCCTGGGAGGAAATGGGATTTCTGATGAGTACCATGTGATCCGGCATGCTATGAATCTGGAGGCAGTGAATACTTATGAAGGTCAGGGCTGGACCCTGGGCTTGGGGGTGGGGTGTCAGGGAGGAGGGTGGCACAGTGGCCTGGGGCAGAAGGAGACAGCAATAGGGAGCCCAGACATCAAAGCTGAGTCCACCAGCTGTTGCCAGGTGGCTATCAAGCCCTCTGTCCCTCACCTGGAGTTACTTGTTCACAAAGGTTGTGGGAATAAATATATGAGTCATTATATGACTTCAGAGGTTCCAATGAGCAGACCCTGTGAGATGCTCCTGGCCTTTGTTCTCACTGTGGGATGGGACATGAAAGGGGACACAGTCCCGACACCAAGGTGCCAAGATAGAGGTATGCTTCCTGGTGGGCAGGTTGGTTTAAGAGAACAGTACATAGTAATTGTATCACTACTTCATGTTCAGAGAAAAAGCTGTTTGTAGACTAGACTATGGCACTCACAAGGGCATATACTCATGGCTTAGTATAGACTTGAAAAACTGGAGGGCGAAAAAAAGGAGGGCTATGGATATGGCACAACAGTTTCCATAAAAACATCAGAACCTGAAATTAAGTCTCCACAACCTGTGTAAAATCAGCACAGTAATATATATTATATACCAGTGCTAGGTAAAATGGGAAACTCGAGCATGAATCCTTAGAAGTATTACCAGCTAGCCTGGGTACTCTCTAGTCGACAACAATAAAAATCCCATCTGAAATAAGGATCAAGACCTGAGGCTGTGCCCTGGCCTCCCCATGTGTGCCAGAGCATGTGAACTTAACACTCACATATCTTTGACCAATATTAAAGAGGGGGACACAATCCAGTGTGACCCATACAATAGCTTCATGTGCAAAGAAGCTTCTAGACAGAAAAAGCAGAATGTATGGGATATCTTCCCTGCCTGCCTCAGTGACGGAGTATTTGAACCAAGGGGAAAGCCCCTCAGCCTTTACTGTTTATCTTCCAGAAATAGAGGGAGAGGTAGGTGAGATCTGGTGGATGGCGCATGTTTTTGCACAGATGACCAGTCTTCCCAATTCTGAAATAAAGTATGACCAGGGTAGAAGTCAAACCATTTAATCAACTGCAGGTATGGGCTCGCTGATTTTGCTAAGACTAAACTTATGGGCAGGGGCTAGCCTTGTCATACTTTGGTAGTTAGCATGGAGATCATTGTGGTTTTGTGCTGGGTTACAGGACTGTTAAAAACCCCAGCAGGGCTCAGTGTCCTCTGTGCCTTCTCATGGTGACTATCGTTAAGATGAGCTTCTTAGCAGAAGTCAGCATTCACCATCTTTGTAATTCTGTTCTTCTGAAACAGGAATCTAGGGCAGCACGAAGGATGACTTTAAAGATAAGCTATGAGCTGAAGATTCCAAACCAGTTCTAACATTCCTCTCACACAGGTACACATGACATTCACGCGCTGATCCTTGGGAGAGCAATTACTGGAATTCAGGCTTTCACAGTTGGCAAGTGAACCCACTTCAAACAGAGAAATGCCTGACTAGATCCTGGCAACACCATGCTTTGCTTTGAGCCTGCTCAAGAACTGCTGGATGGACCCAGCTTTTATTGTGGAAAGTGAGACACTGATTTGAGACTATGGAATTTGTCTCTGGAAGACATTCATATATGCTCTACTCTATAGAAAGAAGATGCAATTAATTCTCTGTATGGCCCTCAGCCCTTTTCACATCTGCAGATGAGAACAGACTCCATCTACCTTGTCTTAAACTTTTTCTAACTCGGAGAGGAGAGAGACAAAATGGAGGGACACAGAAGCCACTGACATGGAGCAGACCCTGTGAGAAGAGGCACTGGAGTTTACAATGTGCCTTCCTGCCTCCATCTCAGGGGCATTACCTTCCGTACCCAACACTGAGCAGATAAAAGAGGAAAATAAAGAGCCTGTGCCTTACTCCTTAGGGTTGGGCTAGGTTTACTGGTAACCACAGAGAAGTTTGGGGAGTTTTTCATAGGAGGGATGAATATGCAGGGGGGTTCTGCCACTCTGTAATAGCATATAGACTTTGAGCTAGACAGTCTCAGACTGGCAGGGGACACTTTGTCCTTTCCTCCATGACACAGCTAAACTACACAATAACAACATAGATAATAGTTCGGCTTCTCAGACCAGACCATGTGACTAGGGACTCCCCAAAAGGTAGCAGAACACCAAGGGTGTTTACAGGGACTGTAACCCTGTGGGCTGGGACAGGACACTGTAGTCCTCTTTCCTAGAGTTGGGGTGGGTGTCATTGGCAAAGCACCTGTCTGGCATGTACAAATCAATGTACCCTGGATTTCATTCCCTACATTGCAGGGAGGGGGAAAAAAACCCTAGTTCCTAGTTCCTGTTCACGTTTCCTTTTAGCAGAGACATTCCAGGTCTTTTTCCTCACCCCTAAATTCTTACCTCAGACTGGACACATAAGTCCTTGTATACAGTTTCCACAGTATGGCAGATTTGTTTGAGCTCCATTTCCAGATGGCTGATCTTTGCCATCTTCTGGGTGAATTCTTGGAGTCTTTCCTGAATGATCTTGCTGTGTTGGCTGTACACCTGGTACATCCTCTCCTCCAGCTTCTCTGTCAGATCTGAGACCTTGCAAAAAGTAATCAAGAATTACACTAACTGCAGGAAAACTTTGTTTATATTGTACTTTTTTTTTGAGACGCAGTCTTGCTATGTAGGCCAGTCTGGTCTTGAACTCACCCATATTCCTGTCTATGCACACAGTGTACACCACCATTCCCAGTCCTTGTGTTTCAGATGGTCAGTCGCATATAATCAGAATGGCCTTGAACTTCTATGTAATTAAAGCTGGTTTTGAACTCCTAACCCTACTACTATCTTCCAAGTGCTGGGAATTATAGGGAAGTACCACAATTCCATGTTTCTTTTCTTTATTGAAACAAGATACAAATGTATGTTCAGTTTGTTACTCATATTAAATCTAGGAATGATTAAAAATCATGATGTTGCACACCATTAATCCCAGCTCTCTGGAGGAGGCAGAGGCATGCAGATCTCTGAGTTCGAGGCTTAGCTTGGTCTACAGAAAGGAAGTCCAGGACAGCTAGGGCTGTTACAGAGAAACCCTTACTCAAAAAAACAAAAGACTGGGCCTGGAGAGATGGGTAGGGGTTAAGAACACTGGCTGTTCTTCCAAAGGTCCTGAGTTCAATTCCCAGCAACCACATGGTGGCTCACAACCATCTATAGTGAGATCTGGTGCCCTCCTCTGGCTCACATGCAGGCAGAATGCTATATAAATAAATAAATGGAAAAAAATGATAACAACAACAAAAAAAAAAAACCCACCAAAATACAAACAAAATCAACAGGAAAGGTAAAATCTGTAGGAATCCCACCGGTAATGCTCGCACCTGGAGGGGAGGCAGTACGGAGGGTCTCCTGTGCTGCACAGGAAGTTCCAGGCCATCTAAAGTTATACAGTTATCCTGCCTCAAAAACCCCAGAAAGACATGCATTGGTTCTGTGCAAATACTAACTCATTTGATACAAGAGAACTGAGTACCAGCTGTGAAAACTGGCATTGGTGAGGTTCTGGACTTTGTGGGTTCTTCTTTTCCCTACCTTTTACCCTCCCGGTTTTACCCCTAACATAATACTAGATAGGAGAGAAACAAGGTAGCAGGGAAAAAGGAATTAGGAAAATCCCTGAATCTCATTTATTTCCTTTTGTTTCTTCTTTGACCCTCAACCAACTTCCCAACAACCTACAACCACAAACCTGCCTATCGCCTGTTCAGGCTCTTCTATGTATAACCGCTGAAAAGCTCCCAGAATTCCAAATGTCACACAGTCACAATCAACTGCAACTGGCAAAACCACTCCTCTGCTAGAACACAAGTCAAGCCATAGTCAGGTGCTGCGGGCAGTCTGAAGCAGAATTAGAATTAGAAAAGATCTGACTCAAGGCTCAGAACCCATGCAGTTCATGGCTTCTGGCTGTGCATTTTCAAACAGCACCAGGCACAGCCACATTCCAGCAACCATCAGGCTTTGTGAAGCATGAGTCCAATGTTGTGTTGTAGAACCAACTATCCCATCCCAGACCACAGGTACCTTTTCCCCCCTAGGGTTTCTCTGTGTAGCCTTGGCTGTCCTGGACTCAATTTGTAGACTAGGCTGGCCTCAAATTCAAAGTGACCCACCTGCCTGTGCCTCCATGAGTGTTGGAATTATAGGCATGCACCACCACACCTAGCTACCTTCTACAGACACATGGGTAAGATAAGGCAAGCCACAGCCAAGCCTGTTGGAACAAGCTTGTAATCCTACTACTCAGAAAGTAGAGGCAGGTACATTACAAGTTCAAGTCCTGGATTACGGAGTGACTTCAAGATAGACCCTGCTTCAAAATAAAAAGTAAGAAGGCTGGGCTGGAGAAATGGCTTAGAGGTTAAGGGCACTAGCTGCTCTTCCAGAGGTTCTGAGTTCAATTCCCAGCAACCACATGGTGGCTCACAACCATCTATAATGAGATCTGGTGCCCTCTTCTAGGGTGCAGGCATACATGCAGACAGAACACTGTGTACATAATCATAATAAATCTTAAAAAATAAAAAGAAAGAAAACTGGGATATAAATATATCCCAGTATCAGAATACTGTCTACCATGCAAAAGACTCTTGATTTTGAAGGATAAGGGTTCCTGAACCTGGTTCCCTTATATCATTTTACCATCCTCCCACCACCCCCAAAGATATGGGTGTTTTGCTTGCTTATCTGTATGTTTAACATGCATGCCTAGTGAACTGGAAGTCAGAAGAGGGCATCTGATCTACTGGAGTCATAGTCATAGGTATTAGAAGTCAAACCCAGTCCCCTGGAAGAACAGTAAATGCTCTTAACTGCTGAGACATCTCACACACACACCCCTTTTAGATTCAGATTCTCTTAGAGCTGGAGAGATAGCTTAGTGTTTAAGAGCACTGTCTGTTCTTCTGAAGGACTCAGGCTCAATTCCCAGCACCCACATGGCAGCTCACAACTGTCTATACTACCAATTCCAAGGATCTGACATCTTCACACTAATGTACATAAAATAAAATTAAATAAATTATTTAGATTCAGATTCTTACCATACAGCATAGCTTGAAACTCACTATGAATACCAAGCTGGCCTTGAACTCAGATTTACCTGCTTCTACTTCCCAAGTACTAGGATTAAAGGCAGAGGTACCATACCTGGTTTACCACTTTAAAGACTGTGTGTTAGCTGGACAGTGGTGGCACACACCTTCAATCCCAGCACTTGGGAGGCAGAGGCAAGTGGATCTCTGAGTTCAAGCATAGCCTGGTCTACAGAGAGTTCCAAACAGCAAGAGTTATACAGAAAAAGCCTGTTTTGAAAAACCAAAAAAACAACAAAAATTATGTGTATGTGTGTGGTATGTGTAAATGGCTATCAAACCAATATCAGTTTTCAAGTTAGGCAAATGCTCGATCCTGAGCAACATACTCATCCAAAATAATTAACTTCTGAGTGTAATGGAAGTTTTTGTTTAAAAACTCAGTTATGTTATGTAAATATGTTTTTGTTTTAATCCCAAGTGTGGGATTTTAGCTGGACTATAGTTTGTCCACACCTGTTAATTGTCTCATATGGGGCATGGCTTTTGCAAGCTGTTAACGGCCTACTTTGTGCCTTGACTCTGAGGATATAAATTTAAGAGCCCAGAAAGAAAAGGTGTGACATGTAGCAGTTTTGAGAGACAAGAGATAGAAGGTGTGGCAGTTTAGAGCAGACCGACAGAAATGCTCCCAGGCACAGTAGCTTGGAGGAGACTGCTGGCTGTATTTGTTGCTGACGAAGGTTGGTATATCCCCCAAAGACCCATCGACCTTAAACAGTGGTGGTGGTGGGGAGTAAAAGGGTCTGTGACCCCTCTCCCCACTAACCTCTCTCCTACAAAAGGTTAGATTGGAAGTGAGGTAGAGGCCTAAACATCCCAAATAAAAGACAGTTTTAAAAATGAGCACTATATCTGAGCTTTAGTTTTCTCACTATGGGTCAGTCTATTGAGTGTTCTAGAATAAAATGAGAACTATGTACAAAGCACCTGCCTAGCAGGATGCCTGGAATCTAACAGATCTCAGCCCATAGGTCCTTCCTTCCATCTTATAACTTCCCTTCTCTTTACCTTCATCTTGAGGCTGTCCCTGAAGTTGGTCATAAGTGCATGGTCCTTCTGTCTGCTCTCATTGATGCTTTCAATCAGGTCCTGGGCTTTCTTCTTCAGGATTTCAATGCTGGAGTCCAGAGAGGAGAAGGGTCCTGACAGCTGGTAATTGGCACTAAGGTAGAGAAACAAGGGTCAAACTCTGATTTAGGATAGTACTGAAATAATCATGTTCTCCAAAAAGTAGCTGATCTGAGTTGGAGCTCAGTGGTAGAATATGTGCTTACCATAAGTGCATAGCATGCAAATGCACTCACACAGGGACATGGTATAAGTGAGGAAGGTGTGGATCACTGCCTTTGTGGGCGACACTCAACAGTTTTCCTATTTCATTCAGACCTTGAGACATAGGGCAGCTTCCCAACCCTTGTATATAACCTAGAGCTGAACCAGGTTGTAATTTCCAGAACAACATTTAAGCAGCCCAAAGCCACTCTTGCGTGCCCGCCCGTGTGTGCGTGTGTGTATTCACCACTGGCTTCTCTGAATGAGCACTATGGAGTTTGAATAAGAATGCTGTTTCCTCCCTGCCCCACTCATATGTTAAATACTTGGTCCCAGTTGGTGGACCTGTTTGGGAAAGATTAGGAGGTATTTTAGGGAACCTTGGAGTTGGCTCAAGACATCCTAAGACCAAGGCAAAGGAGATTTACCCCAGAGTGACTGAGGGCAAAGATAAGGGACAAAGACAGGAGATACAGGAACTCTAGAAAGAGGTGAAGGGAACAAAGGAGAAAGAAGAAAAGGGGAAAGGGAGAGGGAGGAGGGATGTTTGTCCTGGAGTGGGACAAAGGACTGCTTCTGGATAGAGAGGAGACAGAGGTGGTCCATAGGCAAATGGCAGTTTATGAAAGTAAAATGGAAAACCCCATGTTAGAACGAGATGTTTAATTTTAATTGGTATGTTAATTATGTGAGCCAAAGGAGACTTTTGATTATTGGACTTCAGTAGTTTGATAGCTGGACCTTGAGAGCCTCAGGAGGGATTGACCATATAAGGGAATAGATCTTGGGCACTTGCTTTAGGAATGCAATCTAAAGGTTTTTGGCAAGGCAGAGGGAATTGGGAAGAAAAGTAAAGCCTGACAGAACCATGTCTGAGAGCTGGCTAGAGTCCCTTCAAGTATGGCCTTGTTGGAGAAGGTGTACCATTGGGGTTTTTAAGTTTCAAAAGACTGACATCACTCCCAGTATGCCCTCTCTGCTTTCTGTTTGTGGATCGAGATGGGAACTCTCAGCTACTACTGAGAGCAACATGCCTCCCTGCCTGCCACCATGTATAGGCCCTATGGATCTATACTGCTGTGTGCTTGTCATGTATGATCAGAAGCCTCAGAGGACTGTCCTGGTTGCCTCTGTACTTCAGCATGTAGTTGTCCATAGTCCATTTTGTTGTTGGTTTTGAGACAGTACCTCATTCTTTAGCCCAGGTTCGTTTCAAACTCAAGGCAATACTCCTGCCTTAACCTTACAAGTGCAGGAACTACAGACATGAACGACCATGCATTAGCTCCACTGTGTTGAATGAACAACACCTGCTGACCTGTTATCCCACCTCCAGCTGCACTGTCCTCCAATGTCTTTACCATAAGACTGTTCTACAAAGGCAGACACACCACAGTGAAGCTAGTGACAGAAAGCATTGGGACGTGAACATTGCTATAAAATGGTTTTAGGGTGAGACAGATTTTCAAAGGATCTTTGACCTCTGAGGCTGTAGTCATTTTTCCAAGTCCGACCAAAGTAATTTCACTCATGCTTTAGGACAGCCATGTTCTCCTTGCATGTGCCCAGAGCTGGGAATAGGCTCAAAATGCCTGCTCTTGGCCCCCCAGTTTTCCTTCCTGTATAGCTTCAAACTGGCACTCTGCCTTCAAAGCTTACTAGTGGTCACAGCTCCTCTTCCCTGAAACACCCTCTCACAAAAATCACTCTTCCTTTCCACAAGTAAATGTTTTCTCTTTTTCCATATTCCATGCACCAGTAAGGTTTTGGTTTTTGTCAATCTGACACAGGCTAAGGTCATCTAAGATGGAACCTCGATTGAGAAAAAAATGTCTCCATTGGCCTGTAGGCAAGTATGTGTGAGCATCTTTGGTTTTTTTGTTTGTTTTTTGAGACAGGGTTCCACTGTGTAACCTTGGCTATCCTGAAACTCACTCTGTAGACCAGGCTGACCTCGAACTCACAGAGATCCACCTGCCCTGCCTCCCAAGTTGCTGGGATAAAGCTGTGTGCCATCGCCACCTGGCTGAGCATTTTCCTAATTAATGATTGATGTGGGATAACCCTGCCCACTGTGGATGATGCCCCCGATTTAGTCCTGGGTTATAAAAGAAAGTATGCTAAGAAAACCATAAAGAGCAAGCCAGTGAACAGTGTTCCCATGGCTCTGCTTCAGTTCCTGCCTCCAGCTTCCTGTCCTGCTTGAATTCTTGGCTTGGCTTTCCTCAGTGACAGATTGTGACTGGAATGTGTCATTGAAATAAACCCTTTCCTCCCCAATTTGCTTTTGGTCATGGAATTTTATCACAGCAACAGAAAGCAAACTAGGACTGGACTACCACTGGAGGCAAGAATGGTCCTGGAAACACTGCAGCCCTCAGGGCTATTTGTTATCCTACCTATGCTTAGCTCACTTTTTCATACTTCCCATTAGTTATCCTAAAACATCAGAATTCTCCTGCTATGTCCACACAGGGCGGGGGGGGGGGGGAAGGTGGCACACATCTGTAATCCCAGCACTCGGGGAGGCAGAGGCAAGAGGATCTCTGTGAGTTCAAGGCCAGCCTGGCTACAAAGTGAGTCCAGGACAGCCAAGGCCACACAAAGAAACCCTGTCTCCACCCCACCCCCAAAATTAAAGAAACTAGATATATAAAAAAAAGCATTTAATGTAATTTAAAAATGGGGTACAGATCTAAACAGAATTCTCAATAGGGGAAATGCGAATAGCTGAGAAAGAAATGTTCAATATCCTTAGCCATCAGGGAAATATTAATCAAAACTACTTTGCGATTTTATTTTACACCTGTCAGAAGATCAATAACACAAGTAACAGCTCATGCTAGCAAGGATGTGGAAGAAGAGAAACTCACCCATTGCTGGGCGTGCAAACTTGTACAATTACTAAGGAAATCAGTGTAGCTGATTCCCTCCCTCAGAAAGATGAAACTAGATCTACCTCAAGATTCAGATCTACCACTCTTAGGCATATACCCAAAGGATGCTTCACCCTACTGCAAGAACACTTGCTCAACCATGTTCACTGCTGCTGTATCCAGGTTCTGTTGCCAGAACCTGGAAACAACCTAGATGTCCTTCAATAGAATGCATAAATAATTTTATTTTATATGCATGGGTATTTTGTCTGCATGTATGTATGTGCACCATATGCGTGCCTGGTGCCCAGAGAAGACAGAAGAGGGCATCAGAAGCCTTAGAATTGGAATTATGACGTTGTAAACTACCATGGGCATCAAACCCAGGTCCTCTGAAGAACAACAAAGGCTCTTAACTATTGAGCCATCTCTCCAGCCTCTCCTCTTATTTCTTTTGCATGTTTCTTTGGGTTAGATTTTTCTCTTTCTCCTTGGCATATGCTACTTCAAGTCCCTTCCATTTTTAAACTATCTCTTTCTGTGTTTCTCCTACTCTACCCTAGGCTACCCTCATCCAGCCAGTTTGTAGAAAGAGCTACCTACACTGCTAATGTGTATTCTCCCACCTCCCATTCACTTTCCAGCACACTTCAATGAGGTTCCTGCCTCAGTTTTCAAATAAAACAGCTCCTGGCAAGGTATCCAGTGAGAAGGCACTGCAGTTAGACCCTAGCACATTCTATACTGTAATTCCCTTGGCAACTGCTGTTATTATGTTGGCCCACACTAACCACAAACATCTGAAAGTCAGAGGACAATTTGCAAGAGTCTGTTCTTTAATTCTACCAAATGGATCCTAGAAATCAAACTCAGGTCATAAGACACAGAGGCAAGCACCTTGCCCCTATGAGCCATATTACTGATTCCATATCTTCTAACTCCTGATGTCTCCACCTATGCCTTCAGGCCTTTCCATAGTTCAGGCTACTTTTCCAAAGACATCCTTGTAGTGTGGGGTTCCTGGACAGTGTCATTCCTAACTAAGTCCTAGTTCCTCTAGAACAGCAGTTTTCAACCTGTGGGTTTCAACCCCTTTGGGGGACATAAAGTCCTTTCACAGGGGTTGCCTAACACCATTGTAAAACACAGATATTTACATTACGATTTATAACAGTAGCAAAATTAGTTATGAAGTAGTAATAAAAATAATTTTATAATTGGGGATTGCTACAACATGTGGAACTGTTTTAAAGGGTCGCAGCATTAAAAAGGCTGAGAACCACTGCTCTAGAAAGTACTCCTGGGAGGGCTGGGGCCTTTTTCTTTCTTTTTTAAGATTTATTTACTATGTAGACTGTGTTCTGCCTGTATGTACACCTGCAGGCCAGAAGAGGGCAATATATCTCATTATAGATGGTTATGAGCCACCATATGGTGTTGCTGGGAATTGAACTTAGGACCTCTGCAAGAGCAGACAGTGCTCTTAAACCTCTGAGCTATCTCTCCAGCCCAGGTTGGGGGCCTTGTAGAAGCCATCTTCTCTATCTTCGTGTGGGAAAAATGACAAATGGGCAGGCAATAAATTAATGATTCTTTTTTTTCTTTTGTTTGTGTATAGCCCTGGCTGTCCTGGAACTCACAGAGATTCACCTGCCTCTGACTCCCAAGTGCTGGGATCAAAGGCGTGCAACACCACTGTCTGGCTAACCTGGCTAAACTCTTAAACTGGGTGTGATGGTACATTTAATCCCAGCACTTGGGAGAAAGAGGTAGGTGGATCTCTCCAAGTTCAAGGAAAGCTGGTCTACATCAAGAACCAGTTTCAAAACAAACACAAAAGTAATGAAAAAAAAATTTTTTTTTGAGACAAGCTTTCTCTGTGTAGCCTTGGCTGTCCTGGACTCACTTATTAGACCAGGCTGGCTTCAATCTCAAAGAGATTCACCTGCCTCTGCCTGCCCGAGTGCTAAGATTACAAGGTGCCAGGCCACCACGCCTGGCAAATTAATGATAC